CAAACTGTAGTAATTTAAACTAAAAACAAAATTGAATTAAACTTTTTTTTACAATGTTACATACAAACTAAATTTTTCTCTAGCTGAAATGCATTGAACCATAGTTTTATTCAGTGTGTGAGGGTTAGGTCTCCTCTAGAGTTAAGACTCTCTTATTAGGTTTTTGCTCCTCTTAATTTGCTATAAAAATAATTGTTTAAAACATTTTGCATATATTTATGAGGGTTTAGCTTCATATATTAATGTTGAAGACCTTTTTAATTTGCTAAAAATATTATTCAATTCCTTCTGATGCTTTACGAGCCATTCTTTTAATTGTTTATAACATGGTATTGCTTTANCTTATAATATATCGACANATGTTTATTGCTNTANTATATGTATCAAGTAAANTCTAGATNCANANNAGCTTATCAGAAACCATAGGGTGGCTCTCATCTTAGGTATCTTCGTCTTCCTCTTCAGAGTACTAGATTTCACTTAGATTGCATTATGTTTAGTACATCATGATAAAGGCTCTATTGATTCATCTCTGTTCAAAAAGTTTAGTTTTCAAAACTTACTCTCGCAGATAAATTTGTGTTGGAATTAATCTCTATGGGATTCATGAATGTCTCTCTGCTTAAGAGGAGTTCCTTGCGAGCAATAATCTGGTAAGATGATCGTAATTTTTACTCCTATGTTTGCAGATATGAAAACGATGCGAGACCTTTCTAGCAATGTATGGTGATTGCATCAACACGCGATTCGAATTTCCAGTACTTTGAAGAGCTTTATAACTATTTTACTACAGAAAATGTTAATATTTCTCCAAACGCTTAAGAAATATCTTTTTAAAGTTTGTTTCTTTCCCCTGATATGTTAGCCATTTGCTTCACCAGGCGTGGAAGCAATGTGATCCAGAGGCAGAGAAAGTGTTCAAACTATTAAAGAAGAAAGTGTAAAAGTTGCCATTGTGTCCAACTTCGACACTCGATTAAGACCCCTCCTACGAGCACTGAGATGTGAGGACTGGTTTGATGTTGTGGTTGTTTCAGCAGAAGTAACATATCTTTTATATCTTTTGGTTGATGATCTCAAATGTTTTGGGAGCGAATGTGTATTAAAATGATTATGGCTGATTGTTTGGCAGGTTGAAGCGGAGAAACCAAACCCGATCATCTTCTTGAAAGCTTGCGAATTTTTAGGAGTGAATCTCGAGGATGCGGTTCTCGTGACGCTTGGCTCTGGAGAAGTGAAGTTACTTTTAATATGGTACAAGCGGCATCATGTTCTTAAGATTTTTAATATCGTTTAGATACTTTAACAATCTAAAACGCTCACAAAAACATGAATAATTATATCACTACGAAATGGCATTAGGCATGTGTTTACTTTATTTATTTGATTTTAGTTTTCGATTTAGAATTCAAAAATACCTATCTAAAAGCAATAGATCCCTATCTAGAATATGTTATTGATTGTTTTTGCACTGACAAGAGTAAATACTCGGGTTTATTTTTTCCATAACTTATTGTGGATAACAATATCATTTCAGTTAATCATAA